CAATGTATGATCATTACAGTAAATAGCAAAGTGCCTTGTGCAAACTGTTATGAATGAAAAATAGCTTTGTTGACGTATATTTAAACTTCCGAGAAATTAGCGTGAACTGATAAAGGAACCTAAAAAACAACTCGTTCAAACAACATACAAAAGCAAATAAGATAATATACAAAAGCCTCTGAAAAGAAATGATAGGGCAGAAAAATCACTAGTGTCTTTTTATTTATTATAAGTTGTTGGAATAATCAGATTACAAGACTACGTGAAATGTTTGCGTTCCGGTTAAGATTGTAATCTTTAATAACTTCATTGGCTGATATTAAAAAGTTTTAAAATAAAATTATCATTAACCACTTAATGAAGCATTTGAACGAAACCAAGACAAGGTATTCGCCAGAATACCATGTCATGGGCGTCTTAGACTTCCTCTTGTAAATAGTGTTTTAATAGTTTCGATGTTGAGACATGCATGGTCGTCGGGTATTGCACGAACAGGTTGCCGCTGAAGCACTAATGTCTCATAGAAAACCAGCGCGGAGTAGTTCTAACGGTGGTAGGGCCTCGCAGCAGTTGTTGGCTCGGCTGTTGCACGAATGGGCAGGCCGTCCGGGTAAGTACCACGACCTCACAGAAGACCAGCGTAAAGTGGAAGTATGACAAATACTTTCGCGTTTCTTCTGGTGAGTGAGGTAGCCGGAGCCCAATTTTCAAAAGGTTGTCAACGAATCTGTAACCCTCGGGTGTAGCAGATGTCCATGGGCGGCGGTATTCACTCACCATCAGGTGAACCGTCTGCTCGTTTGGCAACTTTCAAATAAAAAAAAGTTTAAAATATTGGTATTGTACATTTTCCCTAACACTTATTAGGTGAGCCCAATTTATTAACGTGAACAACTGTTTCAAGATTCCCAGCCGGCGGCGTGGACAGTGTAAGAACAGAGAAGCTTAAAGGCAAAACTGTGATACGTTAGTAAACTGCGGGGTACGAGTACACAGTAAATTCTACGAGTACGCGAATGTTTTATAAACACTGTTCCGGCTCGTCGGGTTGGTGGCGGGTAAATTTAGCGCGATGTCCAACGTTGATAGATCGCATTTCGCGAGACCGTGGCGTGACCATAGTGCACGTTTACTTTATTTTTACGACGAATTGTTCTGCCTACTATACCTGTCTATGGCAAATGATAGTGAGTGCTCCCATGCTTATAGAATACAACTATGGTGGCTGCTAACAATCGTAAATGGCGACTAAAATGGGGGACACTGATTACATTGACGATCCGGGATCAAGGAGCTGGGTGAAGCTGTAGACTTGTTTTCATGCTTAGAAAGGCTACGGCCATCTATATATAGGTCCATACCAATCCGAAGCTGTAAGGATCGTGGATAAATCTGTCTTACCCCCAAGAGTTAGGATAATATCTGCTTCATGATCTGCATTCCTCAAATGGAACCCGTGGGTGCGCTTCCTCATAATATGAGGAAGTATGCATGGCAGTATGGCATTCACATATTATGTGAATGCCACATACTGACAGTGTTTTTATTAGTCATAAAGTAGTCCATTCGGAGCAACGTTATGCTTTGGTAAGTAGAGTAAAAAGTTAAGACGACCTCATAGAAGACCGGCTTGAAGTGGAAGATAATCGCGTTTCGTCTGGTGTGTGAGTCGAGGCCCATTTGTTTTAATTGTTAGCAACCAATCAGGTGTTGTAGACATCTATGAGTGACGGTGATTACTTAATATCAGACGAAACCCTTGCTCCTATGGCAATATTTCACATAAAAAAATATAGGTTGAGTCGCCATTTGAAGATTTCATATTCCATTCCAATCAATTTCAAAACAATGAAGCTTAAAACTTATTTAATATTGCGTGTAATAAACTGAGGTACAATACAACTTCATTTTTTAATTTCGGACAAGGCCGAGCTTAATTTTAATAATGTACGAGGATTAACCAAAAAAAAGTCTCAAAAAATTTAAGAAAAAACGGCGGAAATATATTGCATACATATATGAACATAAAAATAGAATTGCGAATAATAACTTTTTTGCTAATTAAAATTCAGTCTTCAAGAATGTGAAGAACATTTGAGAGACATTCGAGGAGCAAAGCGATAAAATGTAATAAATGCAATTTTATCTCAGGTAATTTAATTAACATAATAAAATTCAACTTATTTTTTTAAATACAAGTTTAATCAATGTTATCTTAGCTCGCTCTCCGAAGTTAGAAGCTGCATGCTATTTTAAGATATCTCTCCATAAATAAATATTCTTTTAATGTCTCGAATAATAATTAAGTTTTATATACGTACAGGGTAAAAGTTCTCGGAAAATGTAAAAAAAAACCAACTTTCACATATAACCTAAAATGCATATTGCGTCTTTCAAATATATATTCATATTAATGTAATATCAATTTAAAACTATTTAAGAATCCGAATAAACGTTATTTTTAGACCGATAGGAGGTAAAAGCAGAATCACTTTTTATATCTATTTTCTGTGAATAAAACATTATAATTTGCATTCTTCCTGTTGAAAGTTAAGATGAACTGCTGCACATAAATTATCCAAAACGTCTGAAATAAAAAGAACTGAATTGTTTCCAAAGTGTTCGCATATTAAATTAACCTTTATATCAAATTGAATCGCTCGAAGCCTGTCTGGTTTAAATTTCGTGTCTATATTACTTATTTACGTATTGATATTAAGGGTTTTTAAATCCTTTCTAAATGTCATAATAATTATTATGATTACTATTAAAAACTGCATATTTTAATTGAATGCGCTCCTAGAGTCATGCGTGCATGCATGTGTGTGTGTGTGTGTGTGTGTGTGTGTGTGTGTGTGTGTGTGTGTGTGTGTGTGTGTGTGTTTGCGCGCGCGCGTGTGCGGTGTGTGTGTGTGTGTGTGTGTGTGTGTGTGTGTGTGTGTGTGTGTGTGTGTGTGTGTGTGTGTGTGCGCGCGCGTGCGTGCGTGCGTGCGTGCGTGCGTACGTGCGTGCGTGTGTGTGTGTGCTCTGGTTCCGGACTTCGAAGACTGTCTTTAGTATTACTCGCTGGCTGGGAGCCAGCGAGTAATACTAAAGGCCACCTGAAACCTGGGTGTATCAAGTGCATGCGATGGGTCGGTTTCGCAGTGCTCGTAGGCAAGGGCGAACTACGTTGAGTTGTTCGTGAACACTATGTGTGTGTATGTAGTGACCCTTGTACGGGGTACCAACGTCCCTTTCCTCGACCCACTCGATGAGGACGTCACGTGCGGTTCTTTTGGGAGTAGCTCTATAGTTATCGAGAAGCTCTACAGTGCGTGTTTAAACTGCATTAGCATTTACAAGTTTAGCCACCGTATACGTCATTGATAGGTCGGAGATAAATACGACATGTATTCGGTTCGCGGTCGAAGGTACTAACACTCCGGCGAGAGCGATCGCGTGACGTCATCGCCCGAGTTTACACACACTCCACAGCCTTACGGACTGTTTTAATAGGTGTTAACGACGGCCTGGCGGTCAAAAGCAAACGCCGTAAATCCAACGCCGATAGACTCGTCCATTTGATTACCGTCCGACGGAAATTTACTATGCTTTATAATTAATTCAACTGGTTCGATCTACGCTATATGTGCGTTTATTGTACGCTATATGTGCATATCGCTATATGTACGCTATATGTGCATATCGCCGGACACTTCCGGAACATCTTTTGTAGGCATAAATTATTTACTAAAAACGGAATTATCTAAATATATATCTATTACTACTATTTTATTGTTAAAGTTGATATATGTTACAACTTTGTGTAGAACATTATATGTAAGCTTGTAACGTGTTGAATTGTAGAAAAAAGGGAAAAATTAATTACAAAAAGCCATTCGCCACACGGAGGAAAATATCAACGCACTTTATCTACATTGCTTTTTCGGATTAATATAGTGTATTGTAATCTACAGGCATCCTTTCCAAGTTCCTGTACGAAGTTGCAAGATGTAGATATTGGCATGGTCTTCGCCACGTGTGCATTTTAGGGGAGAGAACGATGTAATGTTCCCACAAACGAACAGAATTGATGTGAGAAGACGTGAGATAGTAATTTATCTTATCAATTTTTTTAGAGAGCCGTGATAGCTCAGTGTCCCTGCGTTCGGTTTTAATTCAATATACTCGAGCGACCTGAGTTCTAAAACCCCGTTGCCGGCACCGATAAAATTTTTAATTTTAAGTGATAATCAGCACTTCGTGAAAAAGCCTAATATATTTTGGAAATACTAATAAAAAAAATTATTTCAATGATATGTGAAGTCGGTTAATCCGCAGTGGGTTCGCGCGGTAGACTATGCCCCAACCTCTGTATAGAGGTGGTCTTTGCCCAGCAGTGGGACACATTTAGGCCGCTACTTTAACGATAACCTAAGGTAATTAGCTACCGTTTTCTCATTCAAACAAACTTCAAACCGTTAATGACGTAAAAATGTATAATACCCGCGTGCGTAATAAGTAACATGTAATATTTAACTTTGACATTGACTTATTCACGCACTCTAATAATAGACCAGTTTCTCAAAACCGATGAAAAGTAAATAAACGGAGAAGATTCCGCGTAGACTATTGGTTATTCTTAGCGGTTTGTTTTTGCATAACGTTTGCCTAGACGTGTATACTTTGAAAGCGCCGTTAAAGATGAACTATTTATAAAGAATTCTTTCGTGTTATTTTTAATTACCGATAAGATGGCACAGCTTGTATATCAAAACGCGAGCACATTTTGCCGCGTCTCTCGTACAAAATCTACATTGCATGTTTCATTCAAAACTAACCTTTAGAACACTAATGTAAGACACATTGGTGTTCTAAAGGTTAGTTTTGTGACCTTCTTTAATTTTTTTAACAGAACACAGTAAATAACCAAAAGCTAAAAAGAACACAAAGATTGGGCTTCATATATATCTCGGGCAACTTTTGAAAATGAGACTAAACAGTAGTAGTCGAATTACCGAGTTGGATGGAGCCCATGATCTGCGAAGACTGGATCTTCTTGTATGTGATCTCGCCGCCTTCGCCGACCCGCCGATGCCCGATCTTCCGGTCCGACTTGTGCACTTTGCTGATGGCCCCCGAGGGGCCAACGGCTGGCTGAAATGGAAAACCAATATGAGATTTCGAACAATAAAGATTATAATAATACTAGCGACCCGCAAATTATACATATACACCTTCCTCTTGTATCTAGTAAAAAAAACCACATCAAGGTCCGTTGCGCAGTTTTAAAGATCTAAACATACATAGGGACAGACAGTCAAATAATGGGACGACTTTGTATGTATAACGGACTATGGAGTGATACTTTATTGCACACGAGGAAAAACGTAGAAAGAAAATACTTTTTTGCCTGATAGGTGGTGCAATTCGACAAGGTGCAACGAATTGGTGCAGGACACTGGATTTGAAACCGGAGATCTTAATATCCCAGCCAGCCAACTGTGGTAGGATCACGCAACAGTGTTCACAGTTGCATGTATAAGCAGGTCCGTCTGGGTAAGTACCACGACCTCACAGAAGACCGGCGTAAAGAAGAAGTGTTACACTTCTGCGTTTCGTCTGGTGAGTGAAGTGGCCGGGGCCAACTTTATTTAAAGGTGGCGACGGATTTGCAATCCTACGGGTGTTGCAAATGTGTTCATGGGCGGCGGGTGTCACTAATAAATTAGGTGCTCCTTTGCCACTTTCTCACAAAATAAAAAAAGCAAACCATAACTGACTGTATGTGTATACTTTTGTACTTAGATAACGATTTCTTTTTGGGCTATCATTATGTTATACCTAAGGGTTAAACACCTCTCTTATTAACAAGGCTCGAGAAATCAAGCAGAAATCATTAGCAGCAAACAACATTAATTCTCATATTACGCGTATCGTTAAAATTACCTGATAATGAGAAGTAGCCGTATTTATAACGGCAGATTATAATTCTATCATAATCAGATAACTTCGCAAAATACAGAAATGTTAACGTTAATCAGTGTGCATGACCATCTGGTCATTAGCATCACACAGGGCAAATAATCCTCGGACATATATATCCAGAATTTTAGACTTCTACTTCCTTATTAGGTTATCAAGACAAACTTATATCCTCTCTGACGCACGCACACGACGTCCGGAATCGCGATGACAATCAAATGTCACCGTTTCTTTGCGATTTTTATAAAAATATAAAAAAGATAAGATTATAGTAATGACACTAACGTTTTACTGACGTCACATGTTACTAAATTGAAGTTAAGTAGTCACGAGTGACGTCAATAGTGCGTCAAAATTGACTTGGATTATCGGAGAGCAAACGTTATGGGAACAAGAGCGTAATATGTGCATGACGTAGATTAATAGAGGACTTAAGTGGTTACACACGACCGAATAGCATTTTGTAGTGTTTACCTCATCTTACTTCCCGAAATCATTACGAACATATAACATAACTAGCTGTTATCCGAGGCTTCACCCGCGCGGCCAGAGGGATTAAAAATGAGCTTTTTTAGTATACACTACTTAGTTGACACTTATCATTACCTATATTTTGGACAGTTCACACAATATCTTTATATATTATAGACCATGTGTTATTCCGATGTATAAGCTATATTATTGTAGTTTCATTAAAATCCATTCAGTAGTTTTTGTGTGAAAGAGTAACAAACATCCATACATACATACAGACTTTCGCCTTTATTATTTTTGCGCTAGACTATAGTCTATTGGGCGTATTATAATTTTGAATTTCGCCTGGTAACCGAGTTAATGAAAGTTTATTCATTTGACGGTTGACACCGTATCTACAACCGTACACGTGTTATAGTTGTGCAAGACGACTGTAATCAAGGACTCATCACTTGTTGAATGAAACAAAATGGTCTGATCTATAAGTATAGCGGTAAACCTGATGTTAAGTGATAACCGCCGCCCATTGACATTTGCAACACTCGTAGGTTTTCAGTTACGTTGCCACCATTTAAAAAAGTGGTGGTAAAATTTGTTAAGCGAGCGGGCGGTTCACCTGATGTTAAGTGAATACCGCAGGTTTTGCAGGGTTGCAGGGTTTGCAGATGCGTTGAAAATCTTTTTAAAAATTGGGCTCAGGCTACCTAACTCACCAGACGAATCGCAGAAGAAACGCTCCCACTTAACGCCAGTCTTCTCTGAGGTCGTGGTACTTACCCGGACGGACTTGCTCATGGGTACAACGGCGAAGATTGTTGCGTGGCCCTACCACAGTTACAGCACGAACTCACCAAAAAACGTTTTCATCTGATGATCGGGACAAAATTCGTAAACATATGATTTTTTTGTTTGTTAAGGTGTTTGTTCACAATTAGTTCATATAGAAAACTGTAAAGACCGTACGTAACTTAAGTCACTTATAAACAGTAATGCGTGCATTTTGCTCGTATAACATAACACTAGCACTATTTCTCCAGACAAACAACTTGTGGAATGCACTGGTGGAGGTTTCCAGAACATTGTTAGTCCAACACGGAGAATCGTATAATAGATCACATAGCAGAAGGGTCGCCGGCAACAAGGTTAGAGGCCACAAATACGCGGCGATGATCAAACGGTGTTCACGTTTAAACATCATAATGGCGTACGCCTGAGCAAGCTATGATAGATAGATGATTCTGGAACGTTAATGAGCCTTTAGATTATGCAATTACACGTTTAGCATTGCAAAAAATTCCAAGTGCAATGCGATCGATGGAATAAGATTGTTATTTACATCTTATTATTCGAATTTCCAAGAAATTAAGACAGGTATTTAAAATGAATAATGAGAAACAATAAAGATATTATTCAACTGAGTAAATATAATATATAATATAAATAGCAATTTCTTGTAGTTTTATAAAGTTGATTATACATTTAAGACACAAGCGATCCAGTGCATGGATTAAAACCTGAGTTTATATGCAGTCCAATATACAAAAGTCAATCTATTGATCCTTTCACTGCGTAGGCAGAGAAATCTAATAATGTTGTTCACTTCTCACTAAGAGCACCCTTAGGGTTGCAGATGCGTTGCCTCCTCTTAATAAGATGGTCCCCGGTTACCTCATTTACCAGGCGAAACCTAAGTATAAGACTTCCATTTCACACACAGAGCGTGGTACTTCCCCGGACGGACCCGCCCATTCGTGCAACAACGAAGATTGTTCCGTGGCCCTTACCATAGTTTCCATGAAACGCTCATTATCTCGATCAAGCCAAATCATTGAAACAGTAGCTCGAGTTAATAAAAAAGCGCAAAGTTTAGTCATCTCTTACTTAATGCGTACAGAAAAGGAACGGAACTTGATGTCAAAAGTTGTTCAGAGTACAATAATTAAAGAAAGAGCGAAGTATACTGTACTAGAGCGTTTATTAGGGCGGAGTGGTTACTGCTTACCTTTGGGATAAGTGATAGTCTAGGACTGGCCATGCGCCGAGCAAACACTTCAGGCATCTTAAAAGTGACACTAAAGGATTGGCCAGGTTCCGAGTAAACATTTTCATGCATGTAAAAAGCGCCCCTTGTCGAAAGGAACGCTTTCTAATCCGTGTTATATAATATGTAGGTATATCACTGTACATAGTGTCGTAGACGGGACGGCGCGTCGTCATGCGGATTAGGTCGCTCTATGTGTGGTATGGTGCAGACTGGAGAGCTCTCTTTTATTTCCCAACTTAGACGCCGCGATTTATCTTTTGTTATGGCTTATCATAAATAATTTTTCTCTCTTTATACTCTATTCATTTAAATGATTGGCGTGGTACGGAGAAGAACGCGTGTATTAATAAAGTTTTTTTACAGATTACTGTCATTAGTATTATTAACTAGGAAAATATTGATTTTCGTTTGAACAGTTTTCATGTCTTAAAAAGTAGGTACTCAATGGATATTTTATATTATTCGATTTTAACTAATGAAAGGTTTCATGGGCATTTATAAATTTTTAAAATTGAGGTGAAATATGCGCATAAACATAAGAAACAATTTTAAGGTACATTACCTTACCAAATTAGAAAATAGTGACTAAATAATCAAAAATTATTTTCTATAATCGAATTATTTTCTATGCAAAAAACATTATGACTTACTTCGGTACTCTTCGCAAATATGTCAGCCTATGATTTGTCAAGTGCATTACAAATTGCACACCAACGAACATAATACACATTAAACAAAACTTTTTTTACAAACTTCACTGCATTTAATTTTAACGCTCTGGTCAAAGTGTTGTTCGACTGTATGGTAAGCATTTGATGCATTCTCGACGTAGCAATCGTACATAATAAAATAACGTCTTAAAGAAACTAACAAAGAATTATCTCTACTATGAATTTAATATAAATAAGAACACGTGCCATACTAACAAAAAATCGCTATACACAAAGATTTCCTGCTCGCTCCAACAAAAAATCGATAGAGTGAGCAATGGACTGTGAAACAACAATGGTAGAACCGTTTGATACAGATCATTATGATATACTAGCGACCCGCCCCGGCTTCGTACGGGTGGTGCAATGCAGCCTTCCGCTTGAATCACTCTATCTATTGTTGAAAACCGTATTAAAATCCGTTGCGTAGTTTAAAAGATATAAGCGTACAAACATCGGAAACGACTTTATTTTATAATGTGTAAAAATTGAACTAGGCCGCTACGGCGACATTTAACGGCATTACCCATGGATAAAGAATACAGTAATATTTAATAAAATAAAACAATACACTCTTTGAAGATGAGATGCACAAAGTACAACTTTATTGAAAGCAACGACGAACTATAATAATTGAATAAATATTCTTGTTGACAACCAGACAAGATTCTATGGTAAAAACATGAAAGCCATTACACTACGTTAAGGATTCCACTTTACAGATGGTATGAGGGCGTAGTCCACCCCGCAACCCTATTGCAGAGTATCATTAAAATATTTTTCTTTATCACACGTCTACGTTTCTCTTAACAACGAAATATTATATGAAACCATTTTTCTATGGCATATATTACTACAATTTTAAAAACAAACACTATTTTGTATTGAGTTATTTATTTAAAAAAATGTTACTGTAGGACATAAATTATAACGGAAATTTATAA